CCCCCCCCCCCCCCCCCCGCTCAGTGCAGGAATCTAAATTCAAGCGTTCCAGACTGAGGGCTGTCCAGCCTCTACTTGAACACATGCAAAGAAGGGGAACCCACTGCCCTGGCAAGCTATTTGTTCCCTGTCGTACCATTAGGTAGTTTTTCCTAACAGTCACTGGGAATCTGCCTTAAAAGGAAAGTTGCAAAGTTGCTGTTCATCAGTGTATTTCAGGGGTGATGTAAGGCTGCATGCAGTCCTCCCAAAAGTCAAGACTCCTGCCCAAGGGTTGCCACCTAGCTATAATGTCTAACTATGACAGAAGGGGGAAATAACTAAATGTCAGTAGTGGTTTAAAAAATTCCACAACCACAATCGGAAAGTTCTCCTTTCTGTCTGACATGTGGTGTATAGGAGAGGGGCCATGCTTTAGGATACTAGTCCCATACCTTTTCTGGATATGTGGAAAAGATGCATAGTTTGGTAAGCCATAACACAGATGATTCCTGGATACTTGTGATATAGCTGACTCCAGGTTCAAGCTTTAATAAAACACATAGTGCAGCCTCACGAACAAGAACAAGCAGGCCAGCAAAGCACAAAAAATGAGATGGGTGGACATAAGACAGGGCTTTGGCAGGCCATATTCCCTCTTTTAGACCAATCCAGAGCTCTAGACCTTTTGTTGCAGCAAACAGCTGCATTTGCACGGCCTGTAAAAATGTGGCCCAGAAACATTTCTCAAGGAGCTGCCTTAGTATCTTCTCTGAGATCTTGGGAGATTTTCACACCTCATCTTTTAAACCAAGACTTGCTAGCATTCATGATAACTGATCACTTCATGTTAGTGCTGCTTTCTTCTAGATGCTAGAAGAAATTCCCCAGGCTGGCCCAGTTGTGCTCAGTAAAGGAAGACAGAAAGTTCCCCTTGGCTGCTCACCCAGGAAGGTCAAAGACTGCCGGAAGGAACTGCATAGCTCTTTCCTTGTTCCAGAAGGTCAGTTGCCTTTACTCTCAATGAAGTGAAAATAGTTTCTCTAGCTCATCTTTACTAATCCTGTCTTTCCCACAAATAATTACGCAGCAGCTGATTCCTCAAAGCATGAACCCTTTGGTGGGCTGCCTCCAGACTGGTGGGCCACACGTTGGCTATGCCTAACTTGATTACTGCATTAACCCATTGGCTGGGTTTGCACAATTCACTGAGTCACAATCAACCAAACAGGCTGGGTCTGCATAAGATGCATAAAACACACACCCAAAAAACTGAGGTTTAACATGAACGAAACCTAGCATGTTAGCCAAACAGACCTGGCAGGTTTTTACCCGACTTATTAAGTGCCACTGAGTAGTCCTGTTCTACAACAAGAAAGACCAAGAATCATTAACAAGGAAATACAGCATGATGCAGGCAGGAGAATATGTTATCAGGAACTTTGTCTGGCCTATTTATCTCACCAGGGAAACCAAAAAGGTGACGGCTCAAGTTACAGGACCATGTCTGCAACATCAACCACCTGGATAAAGGAAACGGAATCTCTCCACAACACCATATCCCAAGCCCCTTGTAAAACTGAAGAACATTATCCAGAAGACTGAGGAGGACCTGTCCACAATCTTGTGTATGAACAATCTCCATTTAAGAACCAGTTCCGGGAGGATCTTTTTTACAGTAGCCTTGATGACATAACCCTAATTAATTAATTAAATTTATATGCTGCCCATCTCTCCCAGAGGGTGACTCTGGGCAGTTCACATTTAAAATAAAACCTCAAAACAGTTAAAAATATAAATATCCCCATTAATTTATTTAAAAAGTTGAACTATATAAAAAGACCATATACATAAAAAGGCTACAAACATTCAAGAATCTTATAGAATCTGCAAAGCATTATACTATCATAATTTAATATTATGAATATATTTTGGCCCACTTTTTTCCCTATCTCCTCACTGTGTTTTCCCATCTTTCTTGGCCAAATGTTTTTTTTTTAGTCAGCAAGCTCAGTTTTAGTTTACAAGCTCAGTGTAAAGCTTATAAAAATATAACTAAGTCAACAGTATCAATTAGGAAGGAACCTCAAAGAGAATGACTGTGCAGGGCTTCTGAGAAGAGAGTAATTTCTCAGGAAAAAATATGAAAAGTCTCACCAACCTCTGTGAATGTTCCTTTGTGTCTTGGTTCTACAAACATTGGCTTCACTGCTTCTATTTTTCCCACAAATTCATGTACCTAGTAGAGCAGAGAGAGAATATTAGATTAAATTAGATTAAAATAAAATAAAAATAGGGGGAACTCCACTATCATCTAAGGGCTAATTTGTGCCCCAAAGTAGAAACCTACTCTCCAATATTCCAGGCTTTTATCCATGACCGGATATGAAGGGAAAAACACCAGGAGTCCATGCGGTATTATTCGGACAAGATTACCTGCAATAAAACAGAGTGGGTTGAAACCAAGTTTTCCCCTGACTTCAGTACTAACTCTGATTCTTTGCATAATTTTGAGCATTCCTCTTCTGATCTACTTTGCTACAGCTCAGCCATTCCCAGCAAGGCAAGGTCTCAATCTCTCAGCAATTCTTTTTCTCCTAGAATCCCTAGAATGCTATGGCATGGGCCTCTTTGAAGACAGGGTAATGTCCCCAGCCCTGAAAGAGGCAATGGTGTACCCCCTCCTCAAGACACTGTCCTTGGATGCAATAATTTTAGACAACTATCATCCTGTCTTCAGTAAGGGAAGGTTGTTGAGGTGGTGGTCAGAGTATACTTATAGAGGACCCTGGAGGAAGCAGATTATCTAGATCCATTTTGGTCCAGCTTCAGTATGGAGACAGCCTTGGTTATGCTTGTAGGTGACCTGTAGCAGACCCAAGATGTAGGTGGTGCATCCATCCTTGTGCTCCTTGATCTCTCAGTAACTTTTGATACCATCAACCATGGTATCCTTCTGGACCAGCTCCATAGGTTCAGAATTATGGGCAGTGTCTTACTGTTGTTCTCTTCCTTCCCTCAGTCAATTCTAGTTGGTGTTGGTTGGGGGGCAAAAAGTTGCTCCATAGGCCCCTTCTTTGTGGGGTGCCACAGGGCTCAACACTCTCTCCCCACCTGTTCAACATCTACATGAAACTGCTGGGTGAGGTCATCTGCCAGTTTGGGGCTCAGTAACATCAACATGCTGATGATACCCAATCGTATCTTTTCACCTCAGGCTGGCCAACTGAGGCCATCAAGGTCCTGTCCCAGAGCCTGGAGGCTGTGCGGGCCTGGATGGGGAGGAACCAATTCCAACTCAATCCTACCAAGACCGGGTGGCTGTGGATATAAGGGCCACCTAGATTCAGGGATTTTCCATGTTTAATCCTGGATGAAGTGGTACTTTCCTATTCAGGAATAGTGCACAATCTGGAGGTCTTCTTGGACCCACTGTGCCAAGGCCGTTGCATGGCTCCATCTGGTGCACCAGCTGCACCCCTTCCTGAATCCGGAGACCCTCCAGACAGTCACTTGCACTCTAGTCACCTCACAGCTTGACTACTGCAATGCACTCTACTTGGGGCTGCCCTTGAAGACCACCCAAAAGCTTCAACTGCCCCAGAATGCAACAGCACAGATAGTGATGGGCATCTCTCAGTACGCTTATGTGATACCCTTGCTTTGTGGGCTGCACTGGTCACCAGTTGGCTTCCAGGTGCTGGTTATGCTCCATAAAGCCCTATGCAGCATGAGGCCTGGTTATTTGAGGGACTGCATACTTCCCATGGCTTCTGCTTAGCTGGGACAGGCTGACAGAGTTGGTGTGCTCCGGGTCCCTTCGATTAAGCAGTGCCATATTACAGGACTCAGAAAGCATGCCTTCTCCATCACGGAGCCTGGTGACTGGAATGAAGCCCCCCTCCCCCCATCACGTGGCTCCCGGCCTGCTGGCATTCTGGACAGCCTTACAGACCTGGGTGTTCTCCCATGCCTTGGACTAGGGTGGCTGGAGTCCCTTGTGGGATATGTTTTGAGGTAGGTTTTTGGTTTTGGTCGAGTGGCCAGATTTCCATCTTGTTTATCTCGTACTGTGTTACTTACTTTTTTGTTTTATTCTGTTATATGGTAAGCTGCCCGGGGTCATTTGGGAGTTGGGCAGCACCTAAAGTGAGCAAATAAATCAGGAGGTGCTTCCTGACAGTACAAGCTGTCAGCCAGCAGAAGAGGCTGCCCTATGTTGTGGGGAGGTTGGACGGTCATTTCTCAGTGATGCTGCAGTGGGTCTCTGGTGTAGGTGACATCTAGGGTCACTTCCAGCCCTAAGGTCACTTCCAGGTGACTCCTCTCAACATTAGGAAATCTGTTATTTCTGCACCAGACACAGGATACCGAGGATAAGATACTGAAAATGTGTCCAGGCTGAAATCTTACAGAGACGCTCAAGTGGTTGACTGACTGATTAGGTCTTGGCCTTTGAAAGGATAACTTGGGGACGGGTGTGCGCATGTGGTGAGATGCACACACACACACACACAAACAAAACTGCATTATGTAACATCAAATTGTAAGTGCCTCTTGAGTACTCTGGACTGACAGCTGCTTTCCAAGAGTGGATCCAGGAACAGATTTTATGGTCCACCAGCATACAGAGGATCACCAGTGGCAGACATGGGGAATACAACTTCATTGCTCTTGGCTATCTCATCCTTAACCCTTGTTTATTCTGCTGCTTTAGCTGTGAACCCCATCAGCTTCACTGTAGCATTTAGTCATGACTTGCAGCAAGATTCTTTCTGCTTTACCTATTGTTTTCCCAAGAGAGGACAGACATTCTTCTGAAAATCTGTAAATGAAAAGAAGATGATGAATCCCATCAGCACACAGCTTTCAGGTGTTAGGAAGAAGAATACTGCTCAGTTGCCACAATAATTTCCAGGAAAGTAACTGAATCTCTTTTCCATGCCTGGTTCATGGTTTTAAAACCACTTTCCACTCTACTGTCAAGCTTCAGCGTTTACATTATTGTTGTTGTTGTGATTAAATCCCGCCATTATTTAAAACTTAGAGAGGGGAAATATGCAGGAGCCCATCAACCCAGCTTGCAGCAAATACATATGTCAAAATGCAGTATTCAGAATATGCATGGTCAGAATTTCACAGGCATAACTTCACATAATGCTTAATCAGGAATGTTGCCTCATAAGAAACTTTCTGGGACAAATTCTGTGGAACTGTTAGATTCCTGTAACAGTTTATCTCCACGTGAAGGAAATCATCCATTGTCCACTTTCTGAGTAAAGAGGAACACTATGATAAAATTAACAAGGCATTAAAGAACACTTATGGTGTTACTAAAGAACAACAATGACAGATTTGTAATAGTTTTTTTAAACTCAGCAATCCCCCTAGGTTTATCTGCAACCTTTGGCCAGAATATTTAAATGGCATTCTATGATAAAATTAACAAGGCATTAAAGAACACTTATGGTGTTACTAAAGAACAACAATGACAGATTTGTAATAGTTTTTTTAAACTCAGCAATCCCCCTAGGTTTATCTGCAACCTTTGGCCAGAATATTTAAATGGCATTTTTAGAGTCAGAGGCAGTAAGTCACGGATTACGAATTAGCACATATTTTGCCATCACAGCAAACAGCACCTTTGCTTAAAGGGAGGGGGGGACTCTCATAGAGAAAATGGTTTAAGGCTCTCACACTTTAGATTGTGATGCCCTAAAGGATCACAAGCAAATTTGACAATGGGGGTTGCAAATTTTGTGGGGCTTGAACACATTGGGGAAGCTTGCTACCAGAATCGGTTCCCATTAACCTGTTTATCCAGGTAAAACAGGCTGAAGGCGTGGCAGGGCTCTATCGTTGTTTTGTTTGGTATGCAGATTGAAACTTTATTACTGAGGGTGGGTGAAACATTTATTTCTTCCCAGTCTTAATCTCAACGACAGCATAAGAATGTAAGCAAAGTGCCCTGTTCGATCAAACCCTTGTGTCAGGTTCAGCCCAAGAATCACACGAGACAGTCCAGAAATCAGCTCAGCGTCTTTAT